TTGCCCAGGTTGGAGTGCAATAGCACGATCCAGGTCACTGCAATCTCCACCTCCTGGGTTCAAGTGATTCTCCTGCCTCAGTCTCCCAAGTAGCTAGGATTACAGGTAGGCGCCACCATGCCGGGCTAATTTTGTATTTTTAGTAGCTATGGGGTTTCTCCATGTTGGTCAGACTGGCCTGGCACTCCGGACCTCAGGTGATCTGCCTGTCTCAGCCTCCCAAAGTGCTGGGATTACAGGCGTGAGCCACCATGCCCAGCCCCATTTTTCTATTTCTTTGTACCCCATTGTCACAAGGATTCCTTGCATCTGACCTTCAAGCATATCTGTTATAAAAATTTATTTTGAAATGCTTTTATGACTTTCCATGCAAACAAAGAAAAACAGCTATAAATTGCCTGGAAGTAAAATTTAATATATTACTAAATTGTCAAATATTCAAATATTTCAGAATGTGAGAGCAGCTTTGAGTAAGGGCATGTGGATGAAATGTAGATGTTGAACACATTTTTAAAAAAACCTAATTGAAAGATAAACATGGCCTCAATTACCTCTTCCTAGAGGAAAATAACATGGGGTTCAAAGCTTAGGCACTGGAATCGGGCAAGGTCAGAATTTAAATCTTGACCATTATTACTTTAACTGTGTGACCTTTTATGAATTCACAAGTCTTGAAGGGGGATAAAAATAAAGCCTAGATCATAGGATTATTGTTAAGATAAATGCGGTGGTTTGTGTTAAATACTTAGCATCATAACTGGCACAGAGAAGGCATACATCTTACAGTTTATTATCATCAGCAGCATCACCACCATGACCACCACCAACAACCCTATCCTAGTCACCATGATGGGTTTTGCTCTTAAGGCCTTAGAGCTGGCTGGGATATACCCCTTTCTTTAATCACCTTTCCTTCCACTGAGACATTTTCCCTTCAACCCAACTATATGTCTCAGCTTTTATGTTAATGTCATGATCATAATTGTTTCAAACAATCCAAATAATCTCAGCTGCTCTGTACAGCTTACCAACACCCAGCCATGACTTGACACTAGGTGTTTTCAACTGTCTCAGTCAGCATCACCTACTGGCCAGATTACCCTAGAACAGGAAGTCTGTTTTGACTAATGATGCAGAACCATCCAGCTCCTAAGTCTGTTGCCAATCAGCTCGGCCTTTCCTTTAGGGATATGGAAAGGTTCATGGTGCACCTACAATGAGCCAACAGAGGAGAACACTGGGGTTGAAAAAGATAAAGTCTATTGGAAATAACATTACAGATTAGTTGTTCATTCACTTAATCATTTATATATTAATTCATCCATTCAACAAATAGTTATTAACAGCCTGCTATGGATCTGTAGGATATACAAACGTGAAGAAAACAGAAGTGATTTCTGCCTCACAGTTTTCAGACTGGTGGAAAATAACTGCTTTGTCATCAAATGACCCTGAGTTTGAATCTGACTCTGTCACTTACTACATATTTAAATTGCTTAGACCTTTCTGAGCCTCACTTTTCCTTAGGGTGATTGTGAGGATTAAATGAATTCACAGAAGTTTACTGCTTACCACAGCCCCTGGCAAGATCTACCATTTCTTTCCCCAAACGTCATATAATTTATAGCCACTAGAGTCAGGATACAAACCCAGGAGCGTCTGGCTCCCACATTTCTGCTTTCAAAGAAATGTTCTAAATATTTCTTTTAAGTTTCACTACTTTTGATTTAGTTTTTTCCTCCCAAGTCATTAATTCATCATCCATTCAAAAATAAGAGCGTTGTTTTTCATATTTTTCCCATGTCTTCTTTATTTCTCATTGAACCCTCTGCAGTAAACCACTTCCCTCTATATTAACTGATGTGAAAATCACGAGGCAACTGGTGTCATCACAGAAAAAAAAAAAAAAGGCAGAATAGTTATGTTTCTTCAGGTTATACTTGGGAAGCCAGATAAAGTGCTGGGGTATGCAGACCATCATATCTCAACAGTGCAGTAGAAAGAAGCATAGTAAGCATCTAGCAGAAAGAACTTAGTTTGCCAAGCAGTAATTTATGGGTATTTCTTTTTTTTCTTTTTGAGACAGAGTCTTGCTCTGTCGCCCAGGCTGGAGTGCAGTGGCCGGATCTCAGCTCACTGCAAGCTCTGCCTCCCAGGTTTATGCCATTGTCCTGCCTCAGCCTCCCGAGTAGCTGGAACTACAGGTGCCCGCCACCTCACCCGGCTAGTTTTTTTTTTTTTTTTTTTTTTTTTTTTTTTTGTATTTTTTTAGTAGAGACGGGGTTTCACCGTGTTAGCCAGGATGGTCTCGATCTCCTGACCTCGTGATCCGCCCGTCTCGGCCTCCCAAAGTGCTGGGATTACAGGCTTGAGCCACCGCGCCCGGCCGGTATTCCTTTTTTAAGTCTAGTAGTTGGACTGTTACAAAATTATATTAGCGATCTAGGGGAACTCCACTAAAAATCCAGCACCGTCGGCCGAGCGTGGTACCTCACACCTGTAATCCCAGCACTTTCGGAGGCTGAGGTGGGCGGATCATGACATCAGGAGTTTGAGACCAGCCTGACCAACATGGTGAAACACCATCTCTACTAGAAACACAAAAATTAGCCAGGCATGGTGGCGGGTGCCTTTAATCCCAGCTACTCAGGAGGCTGAGGCAGGAGAATTGCTTGAACAGCGAGTGGCAGGGTTCCAGTGAGCCAATCTTGCACTGCCACTCCAGCTGAACAACAGAGCAAGACTCCGCTCACAAAAGAAAAAAAAAAAAAAATTCAGCACACATCGTTGCATTGTATGTGCAATGATACTTTTGTAGACTCTGAGCCTTTACCCTATTGTGATACCACGCTGCAATTCTTTTCTTGCTTTCTGCAATACCACTTACTATCTAAGCTACTTTTTCATTTGTTTGCTTGAACTGTACTTCTTATTTCTTTGTTTTTTTCTCCATTTATCTACTTCTTAAATGCTGGGTTCTCTCTCAAGCCATTTTTTGGTCTTACCCCTCCCTGGATGGTCTCACTTCTGATCTTTTAATCTATTTTTCTAGAGCCTTCTCTTTTACACCACTTGCAATTTTCCTAATTCGCATCCTTACCCTCTCTTACCAGGTCTACTGCAATAATCTAACTGGTTTCCCATTTGCAAATTGCTCATATCTGGGAGCTTTGTTTTTCACACTGCCACCAGAATTGGCTTCCTAAAACCAGGTTAGTACATGACACCCTTTCTCAAAGGTTAACATCACTCCCTTACAGGGTAGTGTTCAAGTTGTTTAGCATGGCACCCAACGTCCTTCACTACGTTCCTGTTCATTTTTCATTGCATCCTTCCCTGATGCCACATTTTCTGCTATTATAGTCTACTTAGTGTTCTACACACGTTTCATCTTTCTCTACCCACCTTCTCACTGGACGATGCATTTCTTTATTCTTTATCTTTGTGGCATTTCCCAATATATGCTCCTCAGAATACTGATCTTGCGAGATGTCTACTAAAGAAAAGGAATCTGGTAATCTGGTGTAATACAGTATACTAGATCCACTTCCACCCTTCCACCCCCGCCTTGGAGGTTTCATGAACTTTAGCATTTATTTATTTATGTATTTATTTATTTGTGAGACAGCGTCTTGCTCTGTTACCCAGGCTGGAGTGCGGTGTTACGATCTTGGCCGCTGCAACCTCCACCTTCTGAGTTCAAGCAATTCTTCTGCCTCAGTCTCCTGAGTAGCTGGGACTCCAGGCACCTACCACCACACCCGGCTAATTTTTGCTCCCAAAATGCTGGGATTACAGTCATGAGGCACTGTACCCGGCTGACTTTAGCAGTTTAAAATGCCTCTGGAGAAGTCCGCAAGCAAGTAATACAGGTTAGCTTCTGCCTCGGTTTCCACCAACACCAATTCCTCTTTTCTAGAAACCCCGTAAGAATAGCATTTTAATGACCTACTTTGGGAATCCCTGATCTATTCAAATCTTTTTCATTCATTCACATTTCATTTCATCTGTCCTTATTCATTGACTTGGAAAATATGTATTTAGCACCATGCCAGGCACTGGTGAATATACTGAGAAAATATTCTCTTGACAGCAAGATGAACATAATTCCTGCTTTGATGAAACTTACAGTTTTGACTGAACAGTGGATAAGTAAACATGCAATGACCACAAAATGTGGTAAGAGCTATCATAGGGGAAACAGAGACAATGTGGCAGTGCATAGCAGAAAGACAATGAATCTTGGGGAGTGATTAGGGAGAGCTTCCTGGAGGAAGTGGTTTTATACAGGGACCTAAAAGAGAAGTAGAAGTTAGTCAGATGGGAATAAGGGGGGCAAAAGGGGAAGAGTGTATTCAGGGGCAACTACTTGTATGAAGCTGCTAAAACCAGAGACAGCATGGCATGTCTGAGGGACTAAAAGAAATCTCAACTCTCACGCCTGTAAACCCAGCACTTTGGGAGGCCGAGGCAGGCAGATCATGAGGTCAGGAGATCAAGACCATCCTGGCTAACACGGTGAAACTCCGTCTCTACTGAAAATACAAAAAATTAGCCGGGCGTGGTGGCGGGCGCCTGTAGTCCCAGCTACTCGGGAGGCTGAGGCAGGAGAATGGCATGAACCTGGGAGGCGGAGCTTGCAGTGAGCCGAGATCCCACCACTGTACTCTAGCCTGGGCAACCCAGCAAGACTCTGCCTCAAAAAAAAAAAAAAAAAAAGAAAATCTTATTTCAAAGGTGAAGACATCTTCACCGCTCCTTTCATCCCCATTCACGGGAACTTCCTCTGTCTTCTCTACGTTATCTAGCTTGCAAAGTGGATGTTCAGAACATGCTTAGGCATTACAGTAATCTGATCAAACAATTGTTTTAAGGGGACAGATATGATCTTTTGAAACACAGAGCTACACACATACCCACTTCCAAACTCTTCAATAAAGTCAGAATAAGGAAGTTTATTTTTTTAAAGGGTTTACTATTAAAGGGCACTTATAGATGTTGTATTAATTTTGTTTCTAATTTATTTTTTAAACGAAAGGATTAACATAGGTATGTAATTGTGGATGGTGAGGGATTTTCTTAATCAACCCCATTGTTATTTTATTCTCCTTAGTAAGTTTTGCATTTTTAGGCAGCTTGCTTTTGTCAACTAGCAAACAGGCAGGCCAAATTGTAATTGGGCAGATTGAACTAGAAGCTTAGAATTAAGCATACTTAAGAGCCCAGGATTTGGACTCAGCGTCTCTCTCGGTAGCCACCATACTGAGATGCATGCCCTCGATCATTGCCTTAATTCTCAGACACACTGTGCTTCCTGCCTTTCCTTCCATGGCTGCTGTCTGGCAATAAAAGAGTCATCCTTTTTGTTACAGTAGAACAGAGGGTAATGTCTCCTAATTAACAAAAGGAAGTGGTGCAATGTAGTAAGAACACTGCAATTGTTTCCAATTAATCCCACATGCAGTTTGGCAAAGTTAATAATCCATAAAATGACCCGAGACCTAAATATGCAGAAGAGTCATCTTTTGTCCGTCATTTTTTCTATTGATCCAGCAAAAGCAAGAAAATTCCAAGACTACATGCAAGGCCTACAGATTTAGAAGATCATAAATTCTTAAGTATTATCTCAAATATAAAATAAATTTACCTGTGCCATTCAGATCGTATGAATTTCTAAATGTTTTACAACCTTTATAAATCATAACATGTTGACAGGTGTCAATTCAACCACAGTGAAGCAATTATTTACTTGGATATACCATTTGTCACCAAAGCAATAGCACCTTCCCATTCATATAAAAGCAAGAAGGACATTTGCATTTTAATTTCATCATCAGTGTATTTCTAAATTATTTGAGGATAGAGAATGTGTCTTACACATATATGAACCCCTAAAAATGCCACGTGGAACCTACTATCCCAGGTCCAATGACTTTTTCTTTCCATTGTGGCAGAATACACATATGTAAAATTCATTATTGTAACCATTTAAAGGTGTATAATTCAGTGCCATTTAGTACATTCACAGTGTTGTGCAGCCATCAACACTACGTAGTGCTATAATATTTTCATCAACCCAAAAGGAAACCCTGTAGCCAAGAAACAATCATACCTAATTCTCCAATTTTCCTTAGCCCCTGGTAGAACCAACCTACCTTCAGGTCTCTGTGAATTTGTCTATTCTGGACATTTCATATCAATGGAATCCAGCATATGTGGCTTCTTTCTGTTGGCATAGTATTTTCAAGGTTCATCCATAAAGTACATATGTCAGTACTTTCTTTCTTTCTATGGCTGAATAATATTTCATTATATGGATATGCCACATATTTTTTGTCCACACTTTGTTTATTGATGAACATTTGTGGGTTTTCTACCTTTTGGCTACTGTGAGCAACACTGCTATGAACATTCCTGTACAAGTTTTTGTTTGAGCATCTGTTTCTAATTCTTTAGGATATCTGTCTAGGAGCGGAATTACTGGTAATTCTATGTTTAACCTATAGAGGAATGAATAATACTTTTTTATTGAATATTACCAGGATTCTGCAAAGATTGAATGTGGTTGGTAGGGCAGATCTATACCTGCTGAAATGCCTGGATGAAAGAGCTATGGAGCTTTGGGATATGTATGCTTGTATCAGCCTGGGTCAGGAAGATTGACTTGGATGATTCATTTCTCCACTAGCTCGTAAGCTACTTTCTTCAGTGGAACTGTGTTGCCAAACACTCGGGCATTGGAGTTGGACTGTATGAATTCCAGTCCCAGGCTTGTCATGTATCAGTGTGACCTTATTTACATTTGTTTATTTATTTATTTATTTGAGACAGAGTCTCGTTCTGTCGCCCAGGCTGAAGCGCAGTGGTATGATCTCGGCTCGCTGCATCCGCCGCCTCCTGAGTTCAAGCGATTCTCCTGCCTCAGCCTCCCGAGTGACTAGGATTACAGGTGTGAGCCACCGCACCTGTCCACTGTGTGACCTTAAACTAGTTGTTTGACCTTTAAGACTTAGTTTCATCACTTGTAAATGAAAGAACTAGCTCTAACTACAACATGAAGTTGTGGTTACTTTAAACAGGGCAGGGTATTTCAAAAGTGTAGTATATCACTTGGCAATAAATACTCAAAAAGTATTAGCTTGAATTGTGTTTCTACTACTTGATATCCCTGTGGTGTTTAAGTAGCATAGTGCTAGGCACACTAAAAGGCACTTAATCGTATGGAAATAATGACATATTTAATGGGAAATGACAGATCATTTTGAGGATTATCAGTTTTTTCTCTTTTTTTCTTCCTTTTCTGTTGTTGCATGTTTGTTGGAATATTCTGTTTCCTGAAGGGTGAGCAAAAGATGGGATGTGGCATTGGAAAGTCAATGTCAATGAATGTAGGCAGAGATTTTCTTATGGGTACCTTTCCTGTAATCCCACACTGGATGAGGTTAGTTGCTGGCAGAATGGGGGAATTGATGAGCCATTTATTTCCTGCTCAAAGTTTTTCATACTTTGGGGAGGAGCTTCTCCAAAAGGAAACATCAAAGAACTCTCTGTCTGTGTTAGAAAATGCGTTTTCCTTAATTCAGGTCCACTCATGATGTTTTGATTGCAAGCCCCATATACTGACCTTTGAGTTCACTTTACGTATTTTTCTATGCCAGTGCAAGCCTTCAGCATTACAAACATCAGATTGCACATACCTTTGCTTGTATGCTTGCTTCTGGCTGCGAATCCGCCCTGGGCTCTGACTATGCTGTATTCCTGACTCATGCTGCTTCGAGGCTCGCCTGTCCTGACGTACGCCCATAATTCACAACTCTGCAGCTTCCCAGAACCCCAATGCTACACTTCAAGGACATTTGGCTCCTACTCACTGAAGGTAGGAGCAGATTCAAGAGGAGAGACAGGAAGTGGCAAGTGAGAGGTAGTGACATCCGGTCACGAACTCTCCCTGCCGAAAAAAGGTCTTAGAGCAATGTGCTGTGTGATGAGACCCCTCCACCTCTTCTTTTCTTACAATCAGCCTGACACTACTATGGTTTTCTGCTTGCTTCTCTTCACAGCTGCGACTTGTAAGAAAGACCCTTCATCATTTTACAGAGGTGATTTGTGCCATAACAAACGGCTATAAAGAGCGCCACAACTGCAGTGGGCCAAGCACCAGATGTGACACGGAATATGTGATGTAGGTTAAATATCAAGTACCTGTCAGTAATTTGCTACTACTCTGAGGATACTTCTTAAAGAGGACTTTACTGTTGGTCTGGTTTAGCCTTTCACCAGCTGAAGAAAGTTTACCCAAACGTATTGGGACCCAAGGGTTTTCTGTAGGTGAAATACAAGGGTGAGTGCCCTTGACCCTGAGCCTCGCTGGTAGGTAGAAAAGGATTGCTTATATGAGATTGGTGCCATAAAGAGCCCAGGAAACATAACGTCCAAGTGAAAATCATATGCTTACTATGCAATCACCTCTTTAAGGCCAAGCCCCCAGGCTCTCCTTCCAAGAATATTGTAATTACTAAGGACAATCTATACAGACACCTTGAAACCATTGCTACATGGGGTGACAACAGTAAGAATCATTTCTGTCTATCCCAATTTCTCTGTCTTAGCATCTGTCCTGAGCAGATAGTAAGCGTCTGTGTTCAAATGATACATATTAAGGGACAAGCGTGTTCAAACGTTAGAATAGTCCCACTAATGGGAGGCTGAGAACCGTTGATGGCACAGATGAGCAGCACACCACTCAGAGAGTCATTAAAAGTGAAGATCAACATAAAAATCTCCAACCTGCTTGCTTTACCCATGTCAAAGCCAGGATGAGACATATTTAGGACATGACACACAGAGGCGAGAATGTGTATTTCCATCACTTCTGAGCAACTTCCTAGCAAAAAGCTCCGTGAGGACTTCCACCTCCTTGTAGTCAAGGCTTTTCATCTATTATGAATTCTCAACTGACTTCTGGGGCAAACATCATAAAGCAATTTTATCTCCACTGAATATTTCACCATTCTAAATAGAAAGTCTTCCAGCCTCTTACCTTGTTGCTGAAGTTGTCCTAAAGAAAAGTAACTCTAAACCAACATATGCAGGCTCCCATGAGTTAAAACACAAATCCCTTACAACCATGTTATATATAAAAAAATTCATCTTTTAACACTAAAAGCTGAAAAGCAGTTTTAAGAAGCCATCACAATGCCATCCCACACTGAGTTATTTAATTGCAATAGGAATACATGTACCAAAAATCATTCCCTAATTAGCTTGAACCTAAAACAGCAGTTGTTAAATGTGTGATTGGTGCTGATGCAAGAGGGTATGCTTTTGCCATTGTGCGGCAGGGGCTGTGATGGTGTTCAGGTTTTATTTTTAAAGTTTGGGTAATTATAACTTAAACTAACAGCAGGGGGGAAATGAATCATTTATTTGTCTCTCTTATTACAGCTTCTCTCCCCAAAAGTGTTTCCTTTCTTGCTGCATTTACCTACCTAGCAAGGTGTTACTCTGGGTCCTGAGGATGGAAGCATCTGGGATTTGATCACAAATTGTATAGTAAACATTCTGAGACAGGTGACTGCCACCCAAATTCATTATAAAGTGGAAAAAATGCACTCAATTAATTCAGCACATTTGCCGGATATAAAACTTGAACAATCAACAAGAATCAGTTTGGCATTGGAGGTAAAGTTCTGGACTGGATGTCAGAAAACCTGGATTTGAGCCCATCTCTGCCAGTGACTAGCGGGGCACCTCTGGTGCCCCCAGCTCCCTGGATTCTCGGTTCTCTTTTATGCTCTCTCAGGTTGCTTGCAGCTCTGAGATGTAGAATTCCACATCAATAAAGAAGAGTGGAATGGGGTGAATGTCATGAATATACAGCTACTTGTATAATCTACTGCTTTTCTCCAATTACTACGAGCCATGCGTCAGCCTTAGACTTGGCTGGGATTTTGACTGATGAGGAAAGAGTTCTAGAAAGGAGAAGTGACTGGTTAATAGTTACACTGTTGGTAAATATGGGAGAGAGAGTACAAACCAGGGATTTCTATGTTAGGTGGGCTCAAATCCAGGTTTTCTGACATCCAGTCCGGAACTTTTCCTCCTATGCCAAACTACTTCTTGTTGATTGTTCAAGTTTTATATCAAGCAAATGTACTGAATTAATTGATGCTAGATTACCTAAGGCAATCTCTCCTTAGATTATGGAGACACCAGGTGACATTGAATTAAAGGCTTTACCGATGTATTTTCCAATGGCTACTCATTATTCTTAGACTAGGGGACAGTATCTGGAATCCAGCAGTCTTAGTTCCGGTTCAGCATGATTTTGCCACACAATGCAGCACCTATATGTCCTAGGTTTATCTTTGTTCAGAAAAGCTGGATTATGTAATAATTAAGAGTATGGGCTTGATACCAAGATTTGTATATGACTGTTCATAGCAGCTTAATTTGTAATAGTCAAAAACTGGAAACTTCCCCACTATTCATTAACAGGTAAATGGACAAATTGTGGTATATCCATACAATGAAACACTACTCAGTGATTAAAAATGCATGAATTGTTGAGGTCTGCAACAACATGAATAAATCAGAAAATAATTATACCAAGTGAAAGAAGCCAAACAAAAATAAAAAGTTCGTCCTTTAGCATTCCATTTACATAAAATTATAGAAAATGTAGGCTAATCTATAGCAACAGAATGCAGATCCTTGTTGCTTGGAGATGGGAGTCTGGGGAGGGATGAAAACGAAGCAGGAGGAAGCTTTTGGGAGTGAGGGATATGTTCATTATCTTGATTGTGACGGTTTCATGGGTGTATATACGTGTTAAAAGCTTTCAAATTATATACCTGAAATATGTGCAGTTTATTATATACCAATTATACCTTATTTTAGCTGTTCCAAAAAATAAACACCAGACAGGGCTTGGAGTTGAAAAACCAGATGGGGCCATGTCGTGTTATTGTCGTTGTTATTATTGTCATCAGGTGGTGCTGCTGCTGACGGTGTGCACGGGTCTATGCTCCCTTATGATTCCATGCAGCTAGCCTGACATAGAGAGGTGGCTGGGCAGAAAAAAGACCTGGAATCAGTTAGATCAGGGAAGGCTAATCTCATTTTATTCCTGGCTCTGTGGGTTTTGCTACCCACTATCTGTGTAACCTTTGGTGAGTTATAAACATCATCTGAAAAAGAGTAGGGCGGGAAATAATAATTCCTACATCATCAAGTTGCCTTGAGGATGAAATAAGTTAATGTTTGTTAGGTGCTTAATAAAAATTAACTTGTATTATTATTTTCCCAGAACACTGAGAAAGGATTCTGTTTTTTTTTGTTTGTTTTTAATTATTATTTTTTTTTTTTGACTGAGTCTCACTCTGTTGCCCAGGCTGGAATGCAGTGGTGTGACCTCGCCCCACTGCAACCTCCACCTCCTAGGTTCAAGCAATTCTCATGCCTCAGCTTCCCGAGTAGCTGGCATTACAGGCATGTACTACCACGCCTGACTACTTTTTGTATTTTTAGTAGTGATGGGATTTCACCGTGTTGGCTATGCTGGTCTTGAACTCCTGACCTCAAGTGATCCACATACCTCGGCCACCCAAAGTGCTGGAATAATAGGCATGAGCCACGGAGCCCGGCCAGGATTCTCTTTTACCTTTTGCATTGCATTTTGTTTTCATAAAATTTAAGTTCATCAGTCTATTTAAAGAATACTAATGTGAAGCAATTCATACAGGTTTCCAGATTGCTACTCAGCACCCTGTCTGGGAGCTTTTGTTCTGCCCACACTCTCTAAAATAGTAGGCCTTTCTCAGTCACTCTTTAGACCTTGCCCTGTTTTATCTTTCTTCATAACACTTACCACCACCTGAAATATTATATATTTGCTTGTTTATTTGTTTACTCTCTGTATCCCTCCACTGGAACATAAGCTCGCTGAAGCTAGGGACTTTGTCTGTTTGGCTCACTGAAATATAAAATTCACTCAATTAGAGACAGGAGAATCGCTTGAACCTAGCAGGTGGAGGTTGCAGTGAGCTGAGATTGTACCATTGCACTCCAGCCTGGGCAACAAGAGTGAAACTCCGTCAAAAGAAAAAAAAAATCCACTCAATTAGTATGTGTTGGGTGTTGAATAAATGAATGACTGCATTATCTTCAAGGGCCTTCCTTTGAGATGGTGACAGTGTGGTGGTGGCCATTTTTATTATTGTCTTTGTGTGGTACTGTTGCTGATGGTGTCCACATGTTTATGCACCCCTATGATTCCATGCAGCTAGCCTAACACAGAAAGGTGGCTAGGCAGAAAAAAGACCTGAAATCAGTTATATCAGTGAAGTCCTAATCTCATTTTATTCCTGGCTCTGTGGGAGTAAGAGACTGCATAGGCTGAATAAGATATTTGAGAAAATAAGATCAGGGCCTGAGACTGTTCCTTAAATGATAAACAAAGAACAGAAATCTTAAGTCTTGGATACTTGGAAACACGATGGCTCTGATGTAACTCACCCTCAGACCCTTTAAAAAAATAGTCAGTAAGAAAAAAGACTAAAAGGAAGTTAAGTCCAGGGCAAAAAGTCATCCCAGGCCTCCAGTGGGCGTCTAAACTGCAGCCAATTTGTTCTGTTTTGGGTTACTCAAGACTTACCACAATTGTCGTTTTTCCTTCTTTTTAATTTTGTGAATGCAAATTACATGACTAAATCTCAAAGGAGCTAATTCTTGACCTGCTTCCAGTCACCTGTCTTGCCCTCCTGCTGCCACGTTTCCTATAGATGCTATTTCTTCAAGTTTGTTGCTTTAGAAAAAATGTGAAAAGTGCAATAATGCATCAAAACAATATTCTCTGGAACTTGTGCTTGGACCTAAAATTGTACTGCCATCAATCCTCATGTGAGTGTAATACACTCAGATATAAACAGTCACTTAACTTATTCTACCTTGAACCTTCTCCTTAGCAATCTGCAAACAACGCTGAATAAATGAGTGGCAAATGCTTCAGTGCATACAAAAGACTTCGTGAGTTAGCATTTGTCATCTTTTATGTTTTAATTATCTCATTTGATTTCTTTATTGTTGCAATTACATTCTAATTTTGTGTGCAGACACTTCAGTGCCTCAGGCTAGATTAATCAATTAATACTAAAATTATTATTATACCAGTATAGATACAAGTGGATAGGTGGCTAGCACAACTCCAGATCCACGTTGGATTCTGAATAAAGAAATTCTAGCTGTGGAAAATTACTTTAGACTACTTTGAAGTGAAAAATGAGACTCTTCCTAAAATCCTAAAGTAACAAAAGGGATTTGGATGGATTGTGTTTGTTTTGGTGCTATATCAACATTCATTGTTTGTTGCAAATATGTACATATCTTCAAGAGGGCAACAAGAATATCTTTTTTTTTTTTTTTTAATGACACTCAAGCTGAAATCATTAGGCAGTAGCCATGATCAAAGGCTCTAGGTGAGCAGGGAGTTTTAGTAGGTTGTGAGAACATTAGGTTTCAGACAAAATGAGAAAACATACCTCCCAGTCATGAGATGACTTCCCGGTTCAATGCACAGGACTAACAGATTTTTCAGGAGTCTGTGCATGCAATGCACACAGGCTCACAGCTCCCATGAGTGAAGGGCCAAACACAGAACTGAGCTAGTCCTTGGGGCTTTGCAAAAACCATGTGGTTAGATGGAAATAAAACAAGAAAGAAAGGGCCCTAGGTTCTTCATCAGTCTCAGGAAAGAAACCCTTCCTCCAGGTTACTGCTCCCCTACCACACTACCCCGAAACCCCAAAACGTACATTTACACACACACGTACACACACACACATGCATACCATAAATAACATAGTATGTCATTGTCTGATATGCTATTTTCTTTATCTGAACTTCTCTGTTATAACCTCAGTGTAGGCCAGGCACATAGCTCATGCCTGTAATCCCAGCACTTTGGGAGGCTGAGGCAGGCAGATCACTTGAAGTCAAAAGTTTGAGACCAGCCTGGTCAACATGGTGAAAGCCTGTTTCTACTAAAAGTACAGAAATTAGCTGGATGTGGTGGCGGGCGCCTGTAATACCAGCTGTTTGGGAGGTAGAAGCAGGAAAATCGCTTGAACCCAGCAGGGAGAGGTTGCAGTGAGCCGAGGTTGTACCACTGCACTACAGCCTGGGCGACAGAGCGAGACTCAGTCTTAAACAAATAAAAATAAATAACATCAGTGGGTAAGTTAAATCATACTTTTGGCCCTTGTTTGTTCTTCAAACCATGGAGGTGTTTGGTTCACACATTAAATTATAGGCTCTTAGAACATAGTAATAGCAATTGGTAATATTTATTGAGCTTTGCTATGGCCCCCCACAGTGTCTATTATCTCATTTAATCCTCACAGCAACCATATAAGGAAAGTGCCATAGCTATCCCCATTTTAAAGATAGAGAAAGTGAGGCACAGAGAGTTGATGGTACATGACCTGGTGAGGGATAGAGCTGGGATTGAAAGTAGAGACAGGGTCTCATTCTGTTGCCCAGACTGGAGTGAAGTAGCATGATCTTGGCTCACCGCAACCTCTGCCTCCCAGGCTCAGGCGATTCTCCTGCCTCAGTCTCCTGAATAGCTGGGATTACAGGCACGTGCTACCATACCAGACTAATTTTTGTATTTTTAGTAGAGATGGGGTTTCACCATGTTGGCCAGGCTAGTCTCAAACTCCTGACCTCAAATGATATGCCCACTTTGGCCTCCCAAAGTGCTGGGAATACCGGCGTGAACCACCACACCCGGCCCTACTGATTGGAGTTTTAACACATCTGGTGAGTGAATGCATGCTCTGTTACGGTCCTGGGAGAGTTGACGCAGATCTGAGAGCTCCTCAAAGCCATCGCTCCAGAGCCATGGAGTAAGTCTTACACCCTGACATGGGTTGAATTGTGTTCTCCTAAAAGATATGTTGACATTCTAACACCCGGTACTTGTGAATGTGACCTTATTTGGAAATAGCGTCTTTACAGATATAGTCAATTTAAAACAAGTCATTAGGTTAGGTCCTAATCTAATTTAACTGGTGACTTTATAAGAAGAGAAGAGCCCCAGAGACAGACCTGGACAAAAGAAAGACAATGTGAACACATAGAGAGAGACAGCCATAGGATGACAGGGTCAGAGATTGGGGTGATGCATTTTTGAGCCCAGTTAACACCAAGGATTGCCAACTGCTGCCGGAAGCTGGGAGACAGAAGGAAGGTTCTTCCCTAGAGCCTGTCAAAGGAGCATGGCACCACCAACACTTTGATTTGGGACTTCGAGACTCCAGAACTATCAGAGAACAAATTGATGTTGTTTTATGTCATGTAGTTTGTGGTACTTTGTTACAGCAACTCTAGGAAATGAATACACACAACAACTTTCATTTTCCCTTCCCATATGGACCAAAGAGTAAATGTCCTCTCAGCCAAACTCTTCCCCATCTAAAGGCAGGCAAACCACCCTCCTTCTCTTAGCTCCTTGAACAGGGCTCATACCCTGAGTAGAGAATTGTCCACCTGTACAGGGGCCTGAGCAGATGTGGGCTGATGTAGTGTATGTAGGGGCTGTCTTCAGGAGGCTGTGGTTTTCTAGGGAACACAGCTTGAGTCCAATAGGACACCCAAGAGTTGACACTGCTGGTCCCATTCTTGCTTCATCCATATCCCCAAAGAGGGAAACGCCTGGACATTGTGGGAACATGAAGACATTAAGGTGTGAGCCCAGGTCAGATAACAAAGAGATAACAAGAAGAATCACCCTGGTGAGATCCATTATATTAAATAGTCATCAGTTCTATCTGATCTGTTTGCTGCCTTTGTGTCTGTCTTCTAGTTTCTCCTCGTTTTGGTGTCATTTGGATCCTCATGTTATGATTATATGGAGATTGTTTTTTAAATTATCCCTTTAAACATCTAGTTTATTAAATATGTCATTTTCCATGAACATTTTAATTTATATAATCATTATTCTGTATGAAGTTATTTGTAGGATATTTAAAGCATAAAACTTACAATTGAATTTCCAACACTAAGAAAAATGTGAAACCATTACTTCACCAAGATGTGGAATAAGTCCGGGTGCAGTGGCTCATGCCTGTAACCCCAGCACTTTGGGAGGGTGAGGCAGGGGGATAACCTGAGGTCGGGGGTTCAAGACCAGCCTGGCCAACATGGCTAAACCCCATCTCTACTAAAATTACAAACATTAGCTGGGCTTGGTTGTCTGTAATCCAGCTACTTGGGAGGCTGAGGCAGTAGAATCACTTGACCTCAGGAGGCAGCCATCGCAGTAAGCCAAGATGGTGCCACTGCACTCCAGCTTACATGACAGAGTTAGACTCAATCTCAAAAAAAAAAGAAAGAAAGATTTGGAATAAATTAAATGCTGGTGATATAGTTAGATACATAATAGCAAAGGTAGAGACTCTCTGCTTGTGAATTTTGACCCAGTCATTTCTAAGCTCCATAACCAAGGTCAATTGTTTAACTTACTGAACCTCAGTTTCTTCATATATAAAATAGGGTAAAGCAGCAGCTTCTACTTCTTAGGATTACTCTATGGATCAATGAGATAATGCAGACAAAAGCTTAGGAAACCACTGAGATCATTCGGAATTAAAAGAAAGATATTGTTTAAGGGGTTAGAATTGTTTAGCTTAAGAGAGAAGAATAAACAATGATTTAATGTGTCTTTGTGTATACAAACAATAACTAGAATGATCTAAGATTGAAGATTTCTTGACAAGATTATTCAAGAATAAGCAGACTTACAAGTAGAAGGAGTTTGGTTATTTTTTTAAAAAGCCTATATATTAAGTAAATGTTGGAAGTAGATAACAAGGAGCACTTAATGATTTTTTTTTTTTTTTTTTTGAGATGGAGTCTCGCTCTTTCACCCAGGCTGGAGTGCAGTGGTGCAATCTCAGCTCACTGCAAGCTCCGCCTCCCGGGTTTACACCATTCTCCTGACTCAGCCTCCGGAGTAGCTGAATGATTTTTATCCTTGGAGGTATTTGGGAATAGCACTGGCCATACTTGCTATCTTGGAGGGCTTACATATTTACTAGCACAGAGACAGGCTGACGAATGAGGGATTTTTTCCAAATTCCTTCCTAGACTAGGATTCTAGGACCGGATCTGTCAGTCTCTTCTTGTGAGATCCAGGTGAAACCAAGCTACATTCATGGGCTTCACTGTTTCTCTCCAAAGATATAAAGTGGTAATGGCCTCAGTAGCAGGCAGGAGAAACAGGTTATTGAAGCAAAGTCGTTGTCTAGAGTTGTGGTCCTCAGAACTGAATGTGCATCAGAATAATTTGGAAGACTTATTTAACACAGATTTCGGGTCCTACCTCCAGAGTTTCTGATTCAGTAGGTTTTGGGTGGGCCTGAGAATCTCCTTTTCTAATATATTACTAGATGATGCTGATACAGCTGGCCTGAGATCATACTCTTGGAACCACCAGTCTATGGAGGAAGAGATGCTGAGAGTGGAAGACTCTTATTACCTGAGTGAAATCTGAATGCCAAGGTATTGGCCTGGGTCTCAGCTGGCTGAACCTCCCACCTGTGAGATGTTGCGACCACAATTGAAACGCATGTTAAGCCCTTTCCTCAGCACACATTTGCCATCCTCTGCTTGCCTGCACTAACAGAAAGAATACGAGGACAATTCAGGGCGTACACTCCCCTCCTTTTTTACTTATGTGAATGTTTGTGTGATTTTGCTTTGTGACTATCACTGCTGTTTAATTAAAGGCCCCGGATGCTGACGTGAGCAGTCCTCCCATTTATCATCTACTCATTCACCCATCAATCCAGACTTAAAAAATGTATTTGATATTTACATATGCAATGCCCCACGGTATGAGCTTACTTTGACTGCACCTCCAGTTTTCTCCTGGATTTATTTTGGGTCTCTGGACATTTATATTAACTTGCCACGATAGTGACTGCTGACCTCTTTCTTTGTGTAACAGAGCCCCCTGAATTTAGCTGGACACATAGCTATTGTGCTTATAACTAGAGTTGCCAACTTTCCCCGCAGGTAGGTATGACCATGAGACTAAACTTAGGCTAAAAGGAGACGAACCAAAATAATGTATGTAACTTTTGGGTTATCTTCTTGAAGGAGAAAGATACTTCCCTAAACTTCCTTTACCTCCTTCTCACTCTCTGAAAAGTGACAATAGCTGGAGAAATACCAGAAGCCATTTGTTAAGGATGGCACTGGACCACTCTCTTCCAGGTTATTATGCGACAGAAAAGCAAATTTCTATCTTAAGCTACTATATTTAAGGCCTGTTTGTTATAGAAACTTAGCCTTTACATTGACCACTAAAATTGCCTACATGGCTGTCCTGTGCATTTGTCACCTTCTTCTTCTTTTGTCACCTCCTTCTCCTTCTTCTTCTTCTTCCAGAGTTGTGCTCTTGTTGCCCCAGGTTCAACAGGTTCAAGTGATTCTCCTGCCTCAGCTTCCCTGAGTAGCTGGGACTACAGGCATGGGCCACCATGTCCAACTACTTTTTGCATTTTTAGTAGAGATAGGGTTTTACCATGTTGATCAGGCCAGTCTTGAACTCCTGACCTCAGGTGATCTGCCCACCTTGGCCTCCCAAAATTTTGGGATTACAGCCGTGAGCCACTGTGCCCAGCCCATTTGTCACCTTTCTGGACTCAAGATTCGGCTGAAACTTCTAGATTCATGGTACTCATACACCATTTTAGATTCATGGTAACCATACACCCTTTCTCCTACTGAATTACTTGCCAACTGGCCTTGAATTGATGTTTATTTCCACCCCTTCCAACCAGTTAGAGTCTTAGCTCCTGTGCTCTCCTCTGCAGTGATTCACCACCTAGGATAAGATGGGATAACTTTCTGGGGACCAAGTTGACGCTGTGGGGCAGGTGTGGCTGGCAGTGCTGTACGCAATTCTGTTATAACAGCACAAAGACAATGATTATCCACATACTGGTGTAATTGTTTGAAGACCCAGCCTCAGCTCTTTTGAACTTCTCTTTCTTTCCATATACTCCCAAAGAGTTTCTCCACATACCCAAAAAAATTCTCTTGGCCAGTGCAATGGCTCATATCTCTAATCTCAGCATTTCGGGAGGCCAAGGTGGGAGAACTGCTTGAGCCCAGGAGTTCGAGACCAGGCTGGGTAATAGAGCAAGACCCTGTCTCCATAATAATCTCCCCAAATTAGCCAGGTGTCGGGGCACACAACTGTAGTCCTAGTTACTCAGAAGGCCTGGGTGGGGGGATCGCTTGAGCCAAGGAGGTCAAGGTTACAGTGTGCCATGATTGCACCAGGTTCACTCCAGCCTGGGTGACACAGCAAGATACCCATCTCAAAAAACAAAACAAAAAAAAAGTTCTTTCTGTTCACAGGCAGTGTTTGGAGATTCACTAAGATATTGCAGTATTTGGGGGATAAGATATTTTATTTTTTTAAAAAGTGGTGCGAAAAAATTGTGTAGACAATAGCCATGCTGTTGTCTCAAAAGACTGTCATTTGCAATAACATCTTAAAACAATGGTTATGCAAGCAGGAAGTGCCATGAAGGCATTCACAGAAAATTAAAATGATGATTTCTGACAAACTTGAATGAAGGAGCAATCTCAGTAGAGGCTGATCAGTTAGAAACTATTCCACAATATTATCTGGGGGTGCTGAGTGTATTTTTCTAAACTAAGATAACACAGTGAAGAAGTTCCAGGCTTTGGCTGTGAATAAATAGTATTCAAAAGAGGTGAGATTGGCAGTTATTGAAGTGGTGTGACTGAGGAACAATGAGTCATTTGTTCTTCGCAGTTGTCTGTTTCAACCCTGAGAGTCACCTTGTTGTTGCGTCTTCCTTGGATTAAACCATGGTCCTTCAAGCTCTTCCAATAAAAGGCCAATGCATCATCTGAGGATAATATTTGAGAGCTTATAGTTCCTCTCCCTGGGAAATTTAATCACCATCACTGCCAATAAATCCACATCAAATTTCTGTAATGAATAGTTTGAAGGACTGGGGTGTCTGGAGTCAGGTGCTCTAAAGCAGAGGACAGACAGAGACTTGGGTGCATGTGACTTACTAGATAAACGCTCTCAAAGCAAGGGAGTAGGTAGGAGGACTAGGTTAGGGCAGGAGAAGGGGCTACACCAAGGATGAGATCTTAGTTGGATTCTAGCTTCAGCCTAACCACGTGGGGAAGCTCTGAAGCATCAGTTGCTTCTTAGAGTTGGTCCCAGCTTTAGGCAAGGGGTCCCTCCTTTTGTTCCTGTGTGCCAGTTGGTCATGCATTGGCTGTGAGCCATCTTGGGTGAGGGGGATGGGAGGTAAAGGGTGGAACATGAAGTCCCAAATGGAGCTGATCCTGCTTTGCTTAGCACAGTTCTCTAAAGTAGTGGTTCTCAAACTCTGCTGCACTTTGGAATTGCCTGGAGATCTTTGAAAAAACACCAATGCCTTGCTCCTACACTCAGACATTCTGATTTAAGGAGCTTTTGCCTGAACCACCTCACTTTCCTCTCTTCTCCTTCAAGACTCATGTGTCCTTCCTCAGTGTAACCTTTCTTTAGTCCTGCCTTGGCGCCTTTGCCTGTCTCTGTTATAGAATCGAACACCCTCTATTGAATTTCCCTGTCCATGCATCTGCCTTGCTCAGGGGGCTGGGTTCTCCCTTTGAGAATATGAGTAGAGCTTTAATTTTCTCTCTGTCCTGCCCCCTACCATGGTGCCTGCCACGTAGGACAACTTCAGGGCTCATCACATGAATGGATGGATGGATGGATGGGTGGGTGGGTGGGTGGATGGATGGGTGGATGGATGGATGGATGGATGGAGCGAATTGCAACTTTCAAGTAAGTTGCACAGATGCAAATACTCTGTGAACTCGGAAGAGGAAGCAATCCTTCAGGGCTGGAACAGGCTTTGAGGAAAAGGTAGAAATCAAACCAGGATTCTGAAGATAAAAGAAAGACAAATCCCTGTCATGCCCTAGTTTCTAGGACTACCTAGAACCCTAGAGGTTAATTTCAAGCCAGTCCCGTTCGTAGGTAGTGGGATGAATGTTGAACGAACCAGGCATTTTGAGGGGTTTCGTTCAGCAGCCTGCCATAAAGACCAACTATGGTTTCTAACACACGCAGCGAAAACAGCTTTGGAAACAGATCTTGCCCTTCTCCCATGGTTGTTTGAAGATGATTGCTCATCCTTCAGCAGGTCTTTCTCTCACGAGGTGTCTGCCGCATCTCTTGTTCTATGTGTTAATGAGCCCTGGGTGAAATTGGGGTGCATGCAGCAACTGGCATGATCAAACTGGGATGATGGATAGCTGTGCTGCCCCTCCTATTCTGAGTCTGACAGAGGGGCTCCATGGCTTATTCAGAGTGGCTATGCCAGAAATTGAATGTGAGCCGACAACCTGGCTGCCGTTCAAAACAGGTGAGAGAGAAACGATGCTGGTGGCAGAGCAAGAGACACCCACGGTCAGCAGTCGGAGGTGCAGCCCTGTTAACGCTGTGCGGTGCTAACCTACCGGGAGGATAATTCCTCTTAGACTCTCATGAAACAGCAGGGGCTGAGCTCGTCCTGTTCCTGAGCAGAAAGGTTATGTCTATCTTTTTATAGGTGGACATCAGGATGCCTCTGGGTTTGTTCTTCAGCAGACTGCATTCTATAAAAACACTTCAGATTCTCAAATGGTCCTGAGCCCCAGGCATTGTCATCATGGGCATGTGAATTCTTTTTTGGTGTATGCATGCATGGTACCTACGCTGTTTAAAGTTGCTATAGTGTTTAAAGGCCCAGATTCTGGAATTAGACAGGCTTGGATTCCAATCCTGGTTGTGTGACTTTAAGCAAATAACTGAGTTTCCTCGAGCTCCAGTTTTATAATCCACAAAATGGGAATACTAATAGTACCTTCTTGATAGGCTTAATGTGGCAACTCAGATGATCCATGCAAAGCACTTAAGAGTTGTTCCTACAATACAAGAGATTTTTTAATGCTTATACAGTATTATTGTTGTTGTTGTTAATCTTCCAAAATTGATCATCTTTGCAAGCCTATGCAAGAAAGTGTGCTAGACATTGAAGATACAAAGACAAAGAAAACCTAGCCCCAAAGTCTAGACAGGCAGATGTCCTCATGAAGCACTAAACTGAAGTCCCTTTTGGCACTGGGTCACCATACTCTATATTGCACCTTTATGTGAATTAGAAAAATAGATGCTCCCTTCTGCCACTGGCCTGGATTTTAGACCCTTGCCCTCTAGGCTAGGTGTCCTTGTTCAGCAAACAATCTGAATAACTGTGCATAATGACCCAATGTGATATGTGCTACACCAGCAGCATTAGCAAAGTTGTGATTACTGTATTGCTTGTGGAAAAGTGAAATAAATCTTTACAGAGAAGGTGACATCTCAGCTGGATCTTAAGCAATTGACTAGATTTAACAAGGCTTGCAGGAGCCGGCCAAAATGAGAGCTAAACAAAGGCACAGAGGCATGAAAAGAGTTGGTAACTTCA